AGTGTAGAATAATCATATCCAAGGACCAGTGGTGAGTTTCAAAATTTTTTGGAACCTCTTCTGTAGGTGTGGCCTGCTTTCCGGGTCCACTGGTGGAACCTCTTCTAACCAGTTCGGTAGATTTGACGAACCAGTTCTACCGAATAGGTGCGAACTGGTAGGAACCCACCTCTGTTCTACCCATTACTTCTTGTCCTGCCCTCAGGTGTTTTGCAGAATACCTAAATACCTTCAAGAACTGTTATGGAAGACTGCTACCATAACATCCCCAATCCTTCTCTTTTTTTAGGCTAGATAATCCTAATTACCTTAGTCACAAAGGTAAAAATGGAAGAAATAAAACGGCACGTTTGGAAAAATCAAAAGTTAACAAAAGAACTACATTTGTTAAATCGTTAACAATTATACATCAGGGCTAAGTTTCCTTTGAGATAGATTTAAACTATGGGAAGCTAAGAAGGCTGCAGATTGCAAGAGGGAGAAACAGAGAATAGCCTAATGGAATATAGGCTCCTTCATCCTTCCTAACTACATATGTGCAGGATGACCATAGCCAACCATGAGCCTTTTCCAAAATTCTCATTTGAAATAAGTTATATTGCAACTTTTCCTTCATGAAATTGATTGAAACCTAGTCTAGTAGGTTAAAGTACCACTAAAGCCAATTAGCGATCGCATGGCAATCCACACAGGTAGTCCTCAATTTACAACCATTTGTTTAGTGACTGTTTGAAATTACATAACTTATGACTGGTTCTCAGACTTATGACCATTGCAACATTCCCATGGACACATGATTCAAAGTTGGGCTGTTGTCAACTGGAATGTATTTACGACAGTTGCACTCTCCCGGCTCATGTGATCACCATTTGCGACCTTCTCAGCTGACGTCTGACCAGCAAAGTCAATGGGAGAAAGCAGATTCACTTAACGACCAGATGATTCACTTAACTGCAGTGATTCACTTAAAAACTGTGGCAAAAACAGTGATAAAATGGGCTGTGACTCACTTAACTCTCTTCCTTAGCAACAGAAATGTTGGACTTAGTTGTGGTCATAAGTCAAGGACTACCTGTACCAAACCAATGCCTCATCTCCAGCAGTTTGTTATACTTTCTGTTTTTGTTTCTTTTTAGTTTGGAGTCAAATAGCTTTAATGAAAGAGGACAAAGACGGCTGGATCGGCAAGCCAAGAAGATAAGTGAATCAGGACGTCCCTTTTTGTTATGGATGTGACTGTATTCGCTCATGGCAGCTACAAAACAAAAAGCAATCCTTCCAGAACATTTTCAAAGAGGTATTGCCACAGGTTTATACCAATTTGTTGCTGAAAACAATTTTCAGACAAAAATGTTGATAGGAATAATCATTAGTGTTTTATAATATTATGGCATATTGCTTCCCAGGAAATCACTTTGTTTGAAAAACATTAAATATCCTCTAATATTTAGGAAAATGGCAAAACCATTTGACCAAATATTTAACCATTGATTCTAACCCAAGGGTGCTTTTTCAAGAGGCAACTGGACTTTCTGTTTTTTCTTTGAAGACATTTCACTTCTCACCTGAGAAGCTTCTTCAGCTCTGAACAGATACTAAAAGAAATATTTGTATTATAATATCACTAAAGTTGATTTTATTTAGATGTATTTTCAAGGTCCCTTTTTGCGGCCAATTTACCCTATAGTGTGTTAATTATAAATATCTAGTAAAGGACAATCAGTATACAACTGGAGATTCCTGTGAAATGTTAATTATAAATGAAGCAATCTAAGAAGAACAGTTTTCTCAATATTGCATTATTTAAATTGTATTTGTTCCAGTTCTGTTTAATTGAGTACATGTATATTATACCCTCTGAAGTCAGATGCCAATGAGGAAAATTTGAAATTGAGCTGCTTAGCATATTAATCCACCAAAACTAAAATTATATAGCTAAAAAGCAAGGAGAGAGTTAATTTCACAAAGGTGAATAAACCTACTAGCAGAGAGATAGATCAGAACATCATAGCACATTTTGGGGTATTTTATAATAGATTGTCTCTAATGTGTAGGATTTAAATTTCCAATATAAAAATAAGCAATTATATCATAATCTCATATTAGTCATCTCTTTGCCAGATTTAGTGATTACCTGCAAAAGTGAACAGCAGTCTGCCTTTAATCAATTATTGTCAATTATTTTTTCTGAGAGACAATCTGTCTTTAAATAGAATGATATAAAGGAATGTTAAAGTGCTTCAGATAACAAAACTTGCCTGTTTTCATAGAACCCTGGATGCTGGCTTGTTGAGAGAATTTCATAATGGAATTATAACACTTTTAAAATTCCCATATCCACTANAAAAATATAAATATGTTTCCTATTTTGCTTCATTAGAGTCCATCTTTGAATTATTACAAGGTTGCATGTATTGTAGGCATAGACAACTCACAGCATTTGAATAGATTTTTCAAGGTTTTCATGACTGCTCTACCAAGTGCTCCTCTGCTGCACATTTCTTGACTGCTTGTTCTCTACTGTTGCTGGTTGATCCTAGAAACATTCTCTCATTTCATAATGAGCATTGTCAGTTCTAAGGTTGGTTGGTTGTTGTATCTGTTGTCATTAGTTTGACGGTCTTTATATTTAATCTTGATTCCATGTTTTCATTCAGTTCCTTTTATTATTAAAGTTTGCAGATCCTTTTCATTTTCAACTTTCAGATACTGTCATCAACATATAGTGTATGTTGTTATTGTTTCATCTTCCAATTATAAAACTATCATAATCTTCTTCCCCTTAATACATCTTCACCATATGGTCTTGTTTCATTTCTTTACCAGCCTGGAGCCAGTCTGTTTGAATATGTTCTGTCTGTCCTATTGTTTCCTGACCTATATATAGATTTCTCATGAGGCCAATAAGATGTTCATAAGGCCTTAAGAAAAGATTTTTCATTTTATACGTTAAATTTCAATATAATTACATGATAATTCCTTTTATTTTTGTCCCTAGATAGTACATGCAAGTTCGGCACAGTATTAATGCTGCTAGAGTTTCATGTGAATATGTCTTAGGACAAATGCATGTTGTACATTTTTATTTAAAGATCTGTTGGGGTCAAATTATACTTAGCAACTGAACTCACAACTTGCTAGTGTTGTTAAAAATAACTTTCATCCTGTTTTACTTTTGATCAGGGGAGGTTATCAGGAGGAGGAGGAGGACTGAAGTAGTTTCTTGTTGCTTTGCTGCAGCTTTCCTGCACTGTTTATTCTTTAAATATTCCATTTCAATATTTTTTTCTTTTGAGTTAGAGAACTTTCCGTGTCAAGTTTCTTTGATCAGTTTATTAAGATCATGGAGATATTTTGGGTAGAAACAAAGGTGCTTTTGGGAAGCATATTTCCCACTATTTTGAAACTGAAGCTGTATAAAACTTTTCATATTATTAAATAGGCTTATAGTAATTTATTTTTTAAAAAATGATTTCCAACCCATTGAGACCCTTATTTCCTCAACCACCTATTATATGAACCTATCAGTTGCTATCATTCTACAAATATTCTGGCAAACATTTTTTTTCTTCCAAGTGAAAAACTATATTAGAGAGATGTGGCACCTTATGTAACTCATGGATTCCATTTAGCTTGCTAGATCACATTTAAATGGGCTTCATTATATCAGTGGAAAGTTGGCATATTGACTATGTATAACATTATACAAAATTCAGAATAGAAGAGAAGTATGGCCAAATTACTAGTTTACTCGTTTTAGGGGGAATATTAGTAACGTTTTAGAATGTTAGTTTTTAATACCTCGGAGGAAGAGTTTTCTTGTATATAAATAGAAACATGTGAAAAAGTAAGTGAAATATTGAAATATTTAACTTTTCAGGTTACATATTTCAACATAGAGGTATTTGTATAATATAGCAAATATTATGCACCGTTTACATTGTATAGACAATTATGAAATTTAAATAAACCTACCGTGTTTCCCCGAAAATCCGACCTGTCCCGAAAATAATGCCTTGCCCCATTTTTCGCATGGGCAAAAATATAAGCCCACCCCTGAAAATAAACCCCCTGGACAACTCCCCCTGTGGCCAGGCAGAGTACCGCTCACTGACCTAGCGGTATCCTGAAGGCGCCAAACCGTGGGAGCCGGGAGGGGGGGAAAGGCGCTCACATTGCTTGCCCCCTTCGGGATACCGCTAGGTTGGGGAGTGGCATTCTGCCTGGCCAGAGGGGGGAGTTGCCAGGTGGCTGCTCCCTTGTGGGCGGGCACCCGAAGATCCGGGCACAGCCTTAGGAGTGAAGCAGCCATGAGATAACCATGCTCACGAGCAGCCACCCGGCAAATCCCCTCTCCAGCCGGGCAGAGCGCCATTCACTGACCTAGGGGGTATCACTAAGGCACCAAGCGATGTGGCGCTCTGCCCGCCCCTCAGCTCCCGCGGCTTGGCACATTTGGGATACTCCCTAGGTCAGTGCATGGAGCTCTGTCCGGCTGGAAAGGGAGATTGTGCGAGCACCTGTTCCACCCCCAGCCTCACCAAGCCCTTGCACAGCCCTCCTAGGGCTCCACCGCCTTCCGCCGCCACGCTCTGAGCATAACTTTCAAGCTCCAAAACTTGGGGCCAAGTCTTCCAGCATCGGCCGCTCTAGGAGTGTTCTCTATGGTGAGCTGGCTGCCGGACAGAGAGACTTCCGGACAGAGAGTCTTCCAGCAGCCGGCCCACCATAGAGAGCACTCCTAGAGCGGCTGATGCTGGAAGACTTGGCTCTGGGTTTTGTAGTTTGGAAGTTATGCTCAGAGCGTGGCGGTGGTTTGACGCAGCGGCCAGCGGCAGTGCCCTGGGAGAGCTGCGCAAGGGCTTGGTGAGGCTGGGGGTGGAACAGGCGCTCGCGCAACCCCCCTCCAGCCAGGCAGAGCTCCATGCACTGACCTAGGGGGTATCCCGAATGTGCCAAGCCGCGGGAGNGGGGGGGGGGCACTTACTTTTCTTACCCTGATGGTAAAACTCTGATGGAAAATTATGACATTGTGCTGCTGTCCGGAGATCACCCGGATTATTCCAGACATTAGGCGGGATCCTTTTTTACGTGCTCAGGTAAGGCGTCTCGAATGATCGGACTACCGCCACGGGAGCTGAAAGCCAAACATTTTGGGGAAGCGAGAGCATCGTCTGCTAGCGAGCGGCAGAGAAACCCGGGATTCTCCCCGAGGAGGCAAGGGAGAAGAAGGGTCAGACCCGGCCGCGGCGGTGTGCAGGGCTCTCTGCTACTTGCTCGCGGGAGATCAAGCCGGCTCTCGAGGGCGGCGCTGCCAGTAGAACGAGGGAATCCACCCGCCCAGCCACTGCGGTTGTGTCGCCGCTTGGTGTGTCCCAGCTGGCGCTCCGTAGCAGGGCGGATGTTGTGAGGAACCGCTGCCGGCGGGGCTTGGCGAGGGAGCCAGGCGTGCGGTGGAGGCAGCGGTGAGTAGTGGCAGCGCTGCTTGGCTCCGAGGTGCGGGGGAAGCCACTGCCGAAGGGGCGGCTGCCGTCGAGACGCGGCTCGGGCGGCTGCAACTAGGCCCGGGTAGCGGGTCAACTGGGGAGGCAGAGAACACCGCGGCTCTGCCCTGCTCTCCCGCTCGCCTTTAAAAAGAGGGAGAAGCCAACCCGGCTTGCCAGCCGCGTGCGGGGAAGGCGGTGGGGCGCTTCGGGTGCTCGGTGGGAAGCCGGCCGCGCGGCAGGGAGGCTCCCGGTGGGCAGTCCGAGGCGAGGCTGCCTGCTGCATCGGTCCTGCCCTTGGCGTGAAGCCGGCCGAGGGAGGCCTTTTTCGGGGGAAGAGTTGCAGGCGAAGAAGGCTGTTCCTGTTCAGCCTCCTCCTCTTCTTCTGCCCCACAAATCTGCAGCCTGGTGATTGTCTTTGCGCCTTTGCTTCCTCCAGTTCCTGGCGTGCTGGTGGCACCCGGGAGACCGACTCTCGTGTGAAAAACGTGCCTCATTTGTGTCACCTTCCCAGGGTAGCGTGGGAAGAACAAAAAAAAAGTATCTTGTGGACCTCCCTTCCATGGAAAAGAAGCTTTTCAGTGTGATCTTGAAGCGTATTAACTTCGTGGGTATTCATGTCCATTGAATTTAGTGGGAAGTCATCTGCTCAAACGTTGCACCTTAATCCTAAATTGATTTTAAGGCTTTGATTTCAAGTAAGCACTGTCTATTTCAGTGTGGAGTTCCTTACCAATAATAGGTATCACCAAGCTGGAGGAGTTTGGAGGACAGCAAACCTCTCAGTAGTAGAAGGGGCAACTGAAATCGGGCAAAAGGTCATGGACTGTGGCAGGTGTTTCAATGCAAGGCTGATAGCTGATTTTTTTTCTTGTTTTCCAGTGGAAATCCAAAATAAACATAATCCTATACTTGCAACCTTCCAAATTCTTTGGAAACCAAAATTATTGCAATATTATGCAGGTTGATTGCAGTAATATTTCCAAACCATAGTTGTGATTTTGGGGCCCATTTCCATGTGCCAAGGTTAATTGTAATGTGAATTGATAAAGGGAGAGAATTTTTCCGTGGATTTTCAGCTATTAAGACAAACTGATTTAAGCATGGCTTCTTTCCCCTAGTTTACATTTATTTGGGTAGTAAACGTCTGACACAGTTAAGACAGAAGTTAAGGTTGGGATTAAATGTTGTAAAAATTAATTTATTCACATTATTCAATTTGAGTTGCTATTCATATAACTGCTGATAGGCAGAAATAAGTCTTAACTGAACTTAACAGTGAGGACATCTTGAATAGACACCTAACCTATCTAGTACAGTGTATTATTTCATGCTTTGGTCAACTAAATGCCAATGCAAAGCCCATCATGAGATAAGAGAGAGAGTATAGAATTCTCTTGCAGTTGTCCTCCACTAATCAACCTTCACAGTATGTTTCTCAGCTGTGCTTATCATAAGAAACAATTATTGATAGCATATATTCTCCATGAATTTCATTAAGGTCTTTCATAGTGATCATTGTTTTATCTTACAGTATCTAATAGTAACCCTACTTGAACTGTATTGTGTGAGGAAATACTACTTTTAATGTGTGCAGAATCCATATCAATCTTTTTTAATGATCAAGGCTTTTACTGTAGGAAAATGGATTCTACTATATCATGAATACAGTAAACCATGGATTCTACTGTAGGGAAAAGTGCATAATTTTACGAATGTCTCGCTTGTTTTAATAATTTTAAAAATGCCAAATGCTACAGTAATTACTCATGTAGTTACTTCACTCCCTGATAATTTCAGCTGTCTTATTTGCATTTTTTTCTCAGCTGTCTAGTATCTTTCACTAAGATAATTGACCCGAATTGGGGTTGCCTTCTTAGGAATAGGCCTGCCTTCCTGGAATACATAAAATAATGTTAGATAAATCCTTATTAATTAGAGCCACCTCTGCTTTTGCAGCTGTATTTTGTTTCTTGCTGTCTGTTTCTTTCTTGGTCTCTCTTTTTAGCATTCTCTGATATTAGTGTTGTTTCTAGATATGCATTTACTAAGAAAGTTCACAATATAGAGATTTATTAGAAAGCCTGTTAACTAAATATTTTCTTATAAAGGTGCTGATTTGAGGAGATACTGTTTTGAGTGACCAAGCAAGACGGATTTACAGAAACTTTATGTTTAATTTAGGGTCTCATATTGTAATAATTAAGGCATCAGGTAAGAAACTGATAGGAAACTCTGCATTCTAGTCCTAGTCTAGTCTAGTACAAAGCCAACTGCATGACCTTGAGTCTCTCTGTCTCTCTGTCTCTTAGCCTTAGGAAGGAGGCAAGGGCAAACCACTTCCAAACAACTTTGCAAAAAAAAAAAAAATTCAAAGCAGTCAAAACTGAGTCAAAGGCTCATATTTTCACCAGCCGAGATATGTGGACAGATTTGGTAGAAATGTTTAGTATTTGTGAATATACTGTGGGGGTAAAAATATAGTCTATAATAAAAAAACCTTCTGCCTTGTAGTGTAGTTCAAAGCAGTACTGCAATCTTAGCCTAGTTTTTTACATTATGCTTCAGTCAACATGTGGATATATATTAACTGTTACACAGGTCTGCGACTAAAAAGCTGTTTGATTATTTTCATCTAATTTCCATGTATTTTGGTGTGCTGAAAACAAATAATATATGGAAAAACTCCTAGACGTCATAATTTGCCACAACATGCAAAATTGTCTTCAAGTTTATCATTTTTTAAATTTTTAGTATTTTTTATATTATGGGTTTTTAACCAAATTTAAAGTCCAAATTACTATTAATTAATTCACATAAGTGCATTTAAGATNTGGGGGGTGGGCAGAGCGCCACGTGGCTTGGCGCCTTAATGGTACCCCTAGATCAGTGAATGGCTCTCTACCCAGCTGGAGAAGGGATTTGCCGGGCGGCTGCTCGTGAGCGTGGTTATCTCATGGCTGCTTCGCCCCTGAGGCTGTGCCCGGCTCTTCGGGAGTCCGCTCGCAAGGGAGCAGCCATCCAGCAACCCCAAAACAATAAGCCATCCCTGATAATAAGCCAAAGGCCATATTTCGTGGGGCAAAAGAAAATAAGACCCTGTAGTATTTTTGGGGAAACACGGTACATGGAAATTTTGTACGTGGAAAAAAGTAAGTACCGTATTTTTCGGAGTAAAAGACACTCCGGAGTATAAGCGCACATTAGTTTTTAGGAAAGTAAGGGGGGCGGGAATTCTGCCTACCAGCATCCATTGGAATTCATCTGGCTAGCATCCTTGCAGCAAACAGCAAACAGCTTGGTCAGCTTTAGCATGTTATTACAGTCTGATTCAGCACAAGCAACTGAATGGCGGATGGATCGGCCTCCTGGAATACCCCCAATCAGCTGTTCCAGGCTGCGGGGATCTCTACAGCCCATCACCGTCTCCACGCATCACGTTTTTGGCGTTTTTGAGATGATTGGCGGCGATGTGCTGTGGCGATCCCCGCAGCCTGGAATGGGTCTAAAATGGAGTGTGGGGAGACTGAAAACACGACGCATCCACAGCTAGAAAAATTCTGCATGGAGAAGTGGGGGGAAAAAATACTTCTCAATCAGTGCCAGGTTGTTTCTACTATAGGGAGCAACAGCAGGTATTCGAGCAAAGATTAATCATTTTATGCATTGAAGGAAATGGCATATCTCATTTAATTTTTTGTTCAATATTGATTTTCAAAGACAGTTTTTATATTTTGTTCAATTACATTTTCTTTATTTACTGTTTGAAAATAAAATATTGATATGCCCACATATCTTTAAAAAGAAAAAAAACCACCTTTATACAGGATGAATTTACTTTTTTACATGATTGTAGCTTTATTAAATTGCTACTTAGCCAATGATAATGTTGAAATAATTTAGGAAATCTGATCTATAATTGATACAGATCTCTTCACAGAAAGTCATTTTTTCTTCTGTTCAGTCATGTCCCCGTGATTTTGTTGCCAAGGTTTTTCAGAATTTGCTATTTTTCCTTTCTCCTACTCCAGAAAGTGACTGACCCAAGATCACCCACCTGGCTTTTATGCCTGAGGCTGACTAGAACTCACAGTGTTCTGGTTTCTAGCTTAATGCCTTAGCTACTACACCAACCTGGCTCTCATAGAAAGTCATACAGGACCCCTAAAAATAGTTTTTTTTTTAAATTCCTAGGAAGCATCTATCATTTCAAAATCTACAAGAACATGTAGAGCAATTATTAACAGAAAATGCCAGCTCAGAAGACGGTCAAGGTAGGTATCTGGTTTCTATGAATAATCATTGTTACAATGTTCATCTTTGCAAAAATTATGTTGAACATTGTGCATTCTTTTTTGAGTATTGCAAAACTTTCACGGATAGATTTATTGTTATTTCTATTAAAATATATGTTAAAATATGGTTATTAACTATATCACTTCCTTTCTAAAATTCATTTCTGCTAGAAAATTGCATATATATTGCCTGTCATTTGATTTCTTGCTGATTTCCAGACTTTTCTCATTATACTTCCTGCAATTTTGTTTCAGATCAAACTGTAGATGGCAGACTCGGTCCTTCACCTGTGGTGCTGGATCATACTAGTGGCTTTGAAGGACTCCTTCTTGTTGATGATGATCTGCTTGGAGTGAGTGTGAAATATTTAATTTGATAATAATATTTGCTGTAGATAGGGGAAAAAAATCTTCCCTCCTTCCTTTCATAGGTAAAGTGTTTGTCAGCATTGATAAGGGTTAACATTAATTTGAGATCCCATGTAGCAAAACACCTATAACTGTAGATTTCTATTCTAATTTAAAATAGTCTTGTTCCCCCCCCCCCCAATTCGTGTTAAAATGTCACATTCATAAAGTTTTGCTTGCTGCCAATGTAATCAAGTGATGTGATATCCTTAGTGTCAGGGTTTTGATTGTGGCTTGGGTACATAAATTGGTAACTGTCAACCACTGATCGAAAAGCTTAATCCATTTGGCAGGAAAAAAACCACAAGACAGCTGAAATAAATGGATGTAATCAATTGGTTCCAGTATTATTCTTCCGGAAAACCATATCTGCTGTCTATTTTATGATATTCCCTGTTATTCCTTTACTAAAATATTTACTTTGCATGTTGCCTTTCCATTTCCTTAGCATAGTTATGGTAATAAAAATAAGCTATTATGTATTAATTCTTTAATTTAAAATATATTCATTTTAAATTTAGATAATCCTAAAGTTTTGATTAACAAGTTGAAAGGCATAACAATTAAATAGAACTCTTTTTTATAGTGGTGAAATATTTACATTGGGTATATCCTGTTTAATCGTGTATTGACTGCATATTATTATATACACAACAATTTGAAATCATAGTGGCCAGTTCTTTAGCAAGTGGCCTTCATATGCATTAAGTTTGTATTATTTGTTTAAATTTGCTTATTTATCTAGAGTTGCTTTGAATAGTGGATTGGTAGCATATAAATTTAATAAGTAAAGAAATTTATTTAATTTATTATTATTATTATTATTATTAATTAGATTTGTTAAGGCCACAAGACTCCAAAAAGACTTTGGGCAGTTTGCAAAATATCAAATACATAATTAAAACACAGTCAAAAGCATAACAAACATGGCTGGACAACGCAATAATAATAACTGCCAAAAAAAACCACAACAGGGACTCCACTAACACATGGACCTCAGGCAGGCCTGGGAGCAAAGCTAAGGGAGTTTTGCAACATTTGGAGAGTGGGAGCAATTTCCCTCTTGGTGGGGATGCTATTCCAATGGGCATGGGCTATGACAGAGAAGATAGGTTTCCCCGGTCCCACAACATGACAATATTTAATTGAAGACAGCTAGAACTCATCTACTCTGCCTAAATGCTTGAGTGGTCACAATAACTGGAGTCAGGCAGGTATCCTTTGTTGCTCTCCACTTAAACTGTTCTTTCCCATTAGTTTCTACTATTTGTGTGTGCTGTTGATAATCTTTTTTATGTACTTGAAGGTTTTATTTGAGAGTTTTCTTGCCACTCATGTTGCTCACTAGATTCAGTTTCTTAGTTGGGGAAGAAGAAGCAAATCCACCTCCCTACTGAATTGATCAATTAATGTAGTCATGCACCACTTATATTGCCAATCCAGGCAGTCAGTTAAGCTGCCCTGAAAACAGAGGACGTTATCACTCTTTCTTTATTTCATTGATTACTCTTGGTTTTGATGTTGGTTGTTAGAATCACATCTGAACCATCTATATGCACTTGTATTTTATTTCTGATGAGCTTTTATGCTATTAGTTCACACTGATTCTTAACCTATTTATATAACTATGTAGTTTGATTGTAGTCTAATACATGTTTTGTCATCTGCAGGAGTAGCTTTCTTACATTATCAATAGGTATTTGTTTGGAAAAACATGTGATTAGCAAGGTATTGTGTGGACATACATAACCTCATTACTCTTACATCATACTTGCACATCTTCACTAGTAGTTTGAGATTTGGGTCTTTGGAAGTAACACAATACTTTAACTTTCTTTCTCCTGAAATAAAGTACAATGAAAACCTTGTGACAATCTCTTTTCTTTGTTTCTTATATTAGGTGATTGGGCATAGTAACTTTGGTTCTATTAGAGCTACTACCTGTGTATATAAAGGTAAGAATAAAGTAGCGCAACCTGGGAAAGATACTGGTTTAAGTTGGAAGACAGATGTAGCAAACAAATTAAAATGAGGATTTATTCTCCAGTTAACTTCTGGCTTGAATTTTGTATTACCAATATCTTAGCTATTTTGTAAGAAATGTTTGACAATGAAGTATTACTACCCCCAAATTACTTTTATTGTAGAGTTAATAAATAATGCTTATAAAAGCAAGAGATTTTGGAAAAGGAAGAATGGATTTACATTTTGAATTCCTTTGAATGATGAACCTTTAGAATTCTTTTAAGTGTTTGTGATACTTGACAAGTAATTGCAATCTAAACCATGTAAATGGAACTTTGCTGTATGTCACTTACACTTCCTTTTAGGTAAATGGATCTATGAGGTACTGATTTCATCCCAAGGTCTCATGCAGATTGGCTGGTGCACTCTCAATTGTCGGTTCAATCAAGAGGTAATGTTACAGCATTGCACACACTGTATTGCCACTTTTTCTAAATTTTATCAAACAATCACTTGTTGTATTTCAAAGTCTGGGGCAGTATTGAGAAATCTATTTGTGGGCGTTACCCAATTTTGAAATCTCTAATTCTTGTTATTTCTTAATATTTTTTCATATGGCACTGACAATAATTTATAGAAAGAGAATCATCATTGTGACAAAATATTTGTAAAACATTAATGACAAGTGATGGAATATTCCAGCCTTAAACTAACATTTCTACTCTTGTTCTGAACATTTTATGCTTGTAAACAAAAGAGAAATAAAGCTTAAAACATATTTTAAGCACCTTACCTCTTAATACTGACAAGAGATTATTGAAATAGTACAGTATGAGAATACAAAATAGAATAATAATCCAAATAATTTTAGTTATAGTTTGTTGTTGGTTCTTACAAAGGAAGGAGTTGGGGACACACCAGATTCATATGCTTACGATGGGAATCGAGTGCGCAAGTGGAATGTGACTACAACTAACTATGGGAAAGTAAGTATCCCTAATTATTTTACTTGGAAAGTAGCAGTTGAGTCTGAATAAATAGCTGTCTTCATTCCATATTGCAGAACAGAAGGCTATAGTTTATTATACTTTTTAGAATGGAGAGGAAAGAAGATTGGGCTATGGAATGCAATGTGAAGCAGAAAGATAATGTAATCAAGGAGTAATGCATGTTTGATAAATTTGAAAATAACCTTGCGAGAATGCTGTTTACATGTTTTCAGAAAAACTCTTTTTTTGTTCCAGTCTTGGGCAGCAGGAGACATTGTCAGCTGTTTAATAAACCTTGATGAAGGAAACATTTCTTTCTGTTTGTAAGTATTGTGTTCAATATCTCCTGGGTATCACTTGTTACTGCAGCCTAACAACATTTCAACATCACGTCTCCTATATGTATATTCACTAAAGTTATAAACGATATTGTAACAAAGGTTTTTCCACACTTTACCATAATATTTTTCAGTAAAGTAGAATTAGTAAAAGGTCATATTGCGCTGCATTCAAGTTTTGTCATAGAAACTTGTACAGATTATTTTTGAGCAGGAATTTGTACTGTTTGTTGATAAAATTAGTAAAATTTTTCTTTCAGTCCCATGTGAAACATGAATTGATATTAAAGTTAAATTTCCACTGGAAGTAATCTATGTGACTGGCAATTCTTATTTGATTCCTGTGAGGCTTCACTGAATAGGCATATGAGAAACAGATCTTATTTACTGTAGTTATATATAGTATTGTATCATCTAAAATCTACAGAGTGATCACTGGAATGCTATGTGTGAAGGGCAGTGATAGGTAATATTTAGTAATCAGGAATCATACTTTTAAAAAAATATTATGGTTTTATTTGGCCTCTGGACTTATAGGAGACATGACCTGTGATGTCATTTGAATTAGTGAGCTAAACTTTTTGGCCTACATGTTTTGGTTTTCAGGGGCAGGTTTTAAGATGCAAAATAGGAGCCTTTAGCATGGTGCAAACCCATTTTGTTCTTTAACTTTGCCATAGGAAAAAAATTGCCTAAACTTTTTATTAAAACTTTTTATAACTTTTTTATAAAAGTTATACGAGATTGAAAGACAAGGCTTTTGATCCATGATCTTATGGATTTAATAGAAAAAAGAAGTAGAAAACAAGCAAGTTTAGTTACTTGGTCTAATCTTAGCAGTATAATCTGATGACGATAGTTCTGCCTTCCATTAAATACATGCACATATGCCACTGTACAGCTCTTAAGAAATTTGATATAGATGGATGCAGCAACTAAAAATACCATAGATTCCCTTAATGCAGAACCCCCAACTTGCTAATACTGAGGAAACTCAAAATTAAACAATAGTCTAAATGGATTGTTTTGCCAAGTGATTACTTTTATGACCAGTGTTATAGAATGGCTTGTTCTTCTGACACATAAGCTTTTGCAGAGAAAATGGCATAGACCTGAATCACGTAGTGGCATTCTGAGACCAAATACAATCTTAGGGCTCTGGCAAGAATTTATCTTTGCAAATAAAATCTAGGTGTGGGTCATATAGAGCCGAGGTGGCGCAGTGGTTAGGGTGCAGTACTGCAGGCCACTTTAGCTGAATATGATCTGCAGTGCAGCGGTTCAAATCTCACCGGCTCAAGGTCGACTCAGCCTTCCATCCTTCNTGAATTACTGTATATGCTTATGTCTGTTATTAAATGAAGATAAAAGTTAGTTGTTTTTGTGTTGTGTAAGTTTAAACAAAGATGATGATGGTCTAAATGAGATGTATTTGGAACTTGAAATATCCTTGCTTCATAATGTGAGACAGTGTTGTTAGGATGTTGTATGGAGACTTCACATCCATAAACATTTGAGAGACAAATATTCTTGAAACATATAGTTATATGTCTGTACTGAGAATGGATCTAGATATACAACTCTGAGTATAATCTATTGCTTATATGTTCTATTAAAAGCATTACTTTGAATAATGAATATCTATTAAAGCAAGTTCCCATAAAAACATAAGTCATATTTTTCTCTTAGTGGCTGTTTGGTTACCTATTACCTATTATATACAGTGTATGTATGTATGTATGTATGTATGTATGTATGTATGTATGTATGTAAGTAATATGCTTCTCATTTTTTTCTGAAATATGCTTTTCCCCAACTTTTTATTCTCATCATTTTAATAGGTTTAATTTAAATAACAGGTTTTTTGTAAAATATTAAATTTTCATTTTTGTTGTTTTACTAGGTCTGCTAGCAAATTTTTCATTTTTAATAATCTGTTCTATAGTATTAAATGAAATAACTTAAAAGTTATGAGTTTATTTTCCATCCTAGCTACCAATTCTTATTTAGTATTAATTCTATTTAAGTCTAGAGGCTGTCCAAACTGTTTTAAAAACATTACTTGTTTTTTTTACATTTTTATAGCAAATTCTTAGAAACGGATTTTCATTTGTTTCAGCATGTCAGAAAGTATTATCTGAAAAATGACAATGAAAATAAAATGCCAAAATATGTTTTTCTTTATGTTATTCTCAGTAGTTTTGTTTGGAGTATTAAAATATTTGATAGCAGTTTTCCTACAAGTGTTACAATTTTTAATTTGTTTCATGTTTTATCTTTGAAGTTAGTGACATTAATACTGTCCTGAACTATGACATCAAGAAGTTCTGGCACAGCATTTCCTCGGAAGAATTACAGGTTAAGCACCGAGTCTGAAAAGTCCAAAGTTGCAGGTAGGAGCAGTACTGTGGATTCTGGGGAGAAGTTACTAATCTTGTAGGTTTCTTCTGGTTCTAAGTCAATTATATAAAGGTCAAATACAAAGATATATATTTTATTTGAGATCTGTTTGGAAGGTCAGCTAAAATGATAAATCTTTAGTAGAAAAAAAAAGTCCCAGGATGTTTTAAAAATAATCAGATACAAAAAAAAGACATCAATTTTTTAAACTAGTCATTAAGGAGGAAGTTTCAGAAAACATATTGATTTGTATAGCTTACTTTCCAAATTGTGTAAATATACTCTCATTAGTTGGATATTAAATATAATGGTAATTACTTGGTTGTGACCTATGAAGCCCTACATGGCATGTGGCCAGGCTACCTATATAACTGTTTTTCCCCCCACGCATCAGGTAAGGAAGGTATGTTGCAGACTCCATTAATTAAAGAATTCCAACTGGCAGAGTCTAGGAAGAGAGCCTTCTCTGCCCTTGCCCCTGCCCTCTGGAATCTTCCCCCCACTCTCCTGTCCTTCTGTAAAGGAGATTAAATAGACTCTGCAGCCTCTTGTGGGGAGCTCAAAGGAGGATGCAGCCATGGCACTGGTTAGAGCCTACCCTTTGCCTTCTTAACCAATTTGTAACAGATTTAATCCTTGCCTCCTTTTAATTGTAAACTTTCTAAATGTTTACTTCTTATATACTATTTTTACATTTTTAACATTTATTGTAAATCACCTAAGAGTATAATAACCATGTTTCCCAAAAATAAGACTGAGTCTTATATTAATATTTGCTCCAAAAGATGCATTACAGCTTATTTTCTGCTTAGGTCTTATTTTTGGGAAAATATGGTACTAAATGTGTTCATCTGGTTGATGATCTTAACCTTGGGCTTATTTTGGGGATAGGACTTAAATTGTGAGCATCCTGAAAAACCATGCTAGGGCTTAATTTCCAGCTGGGTCTTCTTTTTGGGGAAACAGGGAAGATGTTACTGAGGGCAATGGGCGGTTGAAAAATCAATCAATAAATTCCTTGTCAAAGAGCATTGATAGAAGTTGTTTTCAGTCTGGAAGAAAACATGCTTCTTAATTCTTCATTCACATAAATACAGAAGATCTTGTAGTTTTAATTAAGTAAGTCTATACTTAGAAATAGTTGTAGACATTTAAGGACAAGACTTAATGAATGGATTTGAGATTATTTGATGTAGCATATAGAGTTAGGCAGTTCCTTCAGCTCTATCCTGGTTTGTCTGAAATTGGAAGTCATGCAGGAATACTGTATTATATACTCTGTTTCAAATTGTAAAGAAGAAATAAATTCAACTAGAAAGTATTTGTCACACCTTTGAAAGTGACATTTAGTATCTTTGAGGTATTATCTGACTTGGATTTTGCTACTTGTCATAGGAATAGTGAACAGCAAGCTCCTGAATGATTATCTTCATCGTATTTTTCCCAGTGCTGATGGAACTCAACCTTCTGCTGCATGCAGGTAGTAGCTTTTTAATTTACTAAATACCAAGCAAATCATACTATTTGGAAGTGACTGATGAGTAAACCTTTAGCAGGAAGAGTTCAGTGCTGACATCATATAAAACAGATCTATAATCTGCTTAATAGATTATATACAAGTATTTTTGTTATAATATTTGTATAGGATTTCCTCTTCATTTTGAAAACGTGTGAGAAGCAACAAAGTCCTCTTAGTTTCAACAATACCCTAATATATCTGTAAATTTGATTGTGTGTTATTTACATATTGCCAATAATGCCTTAAATTGTGTATCTTTTAATATCCATGCAACACTCAGAAACATGTGTGAGCTTTATAAATATTAAATAGTAACTGCAAATATTTATAGTTCTTGAAACTTGTAATAACATTTGTAATCTGAAAATCAATATCCGCTAAATTTCATATAAAGATGTGAAATTAATCAGTTTCAAGTCTTTCAATGTGAATTCATCACCATTGTAACTGAGTCCATCCACTTGGCAGCTGGTTGTCTCTTCTCTTTGTCANCCCCCCCAATGTGGAGTTTTAAGAAAAGAACAGAGACTAGTAAGGATAATGGCAAAATTCATCCTATGTGTTTTCAGTTCCCACCATCTGCTCCTTAAGATGGGAAAATACACACACTATAGTGTGCACCTAAAATAGACTTGGCAATTAAAAAAATAAGAATAGCAACTATCCAAAAAGTATCCAGAAAAAAACCCTGCAGGAAATCTCTCCTTTGCCCACTGCATGATGCAGTCACACTTGTAAGACATTATTGCTCTCTATGGACTTTGCTCCTCTCCCAAAGAATCAAGGGCTGCCCTTGCCCATTGAAAGCCTCTTTCTGTCCCAGACATTTAGGAACTTTGGCTCAAAGAAGTAAATTGCTTTCCAGTATATTTCTTAATAATTCCTTACATATCCAGTGGAGGGATATCAGCCCTTACAGGATAAGCCAGCTGCAGATCTGATGAAAGCTCACAAGCTCCTGGGATATCTCAACAATGTTATTAAAATTGATGTTTCGGTAATATCATGTTTTCAATGTTACATTTATATAGAGATGTTCTATTAAAAATGCATGGACTTAGTTAAATTTGTTTTATTTAGGTGTGTAGAATGTATAAATATTTATGCTACCCAGCAAAGCTCCTTCAGTCACTTTCAAAGAATGAAGTAATAGAACACTCCCAAAACACAACAAAACAGCATTATCATTTTTGCGTAGTAAAAATATATATTCTAAAGGGTTTGAACAAAGAACACTTACTCTGTGTCTTATTTTATGAAGATTAAGCTTTGTTATCTTCAGGTGTCTACATGTGTATATCAAAAATTAAAATCAATATGATAAATGCCCCTTTGCTGTACATATTCAGGCTCTGTGGAACTATATTTGGAGTTCGAAATATTAGTAAGATGAAAAGGAAATGCCTAAGGTTCAAATTGGATGGGGTTTTTTTGAGTAGTGAAGAATAATGGGGAAGCATTCTGTCATCCTGTATCTTAATTTGTGAAATCTAATGAAATGAAATAAGTAAAATATTCAATTTATATAGCCGTCCATTCCGCAAAACAGTTCTAGGCGTCTTACAGCAGGCTAAAACAATATAGAAAGTAAAATAGCAGCAGTCAAAAGACCAAACCAGTCTAAACTACATAACACATAACAGGCTCCAACTCTTAAAGGTTATGCATTCCTGTGGGAGCACAACCATAGAAGAGCCTTCCAAAAGTCTGCTTTTGTGTGTACCAATCCATTCTCAGGGGAATTGATGTTCAACAACTGAAAAGTCCTGCTTCCTGGCTCCCCTAGATTTCTTTGACTAATAGGACTCTGCTGGATCTAAGGAGATGGTGCTCATGCAAATATCCTGGTCCTTAAATTGCACCTGGAAGCACACTGGCAAACAATGCAAGCTTGTGGAGAAAATGCAACATGCACACCCTGAAGCTATTCATAACTCTCCATTCTGCATTCTGTACCAGTTGCAGCTTCCAGATGCTCTTCAAAGACAGGCCCATGTAGAATGCACTGCAGTGACCCAGTCAGGAGATTTAAGTGTAAGTGACCTTAAGAGATGGGCTTCTAATTTAAGAAAAGACACCGCTGGTGCTGGAGATGAATTCGCATGAAGCCTCTCCTAGCCACAGCTGCCACATGTTCTTCAAACAGAAACTGTGAATCCAGGAAGACTCCAAATTGCACCCTGGTTCTGTTTGGGGTACCTTACCTGGAACAACAGATAAATCCTTGGATCCAGGAGATCCAAAAGTCTACAGCCATTTAGACTTGCTAAGGTTAAGCTGAAGCCTGTTCTTCCTCATTGTGGGATCATGAACCCCACAGTCTCTGGACAGAGTCAGAAACTCCTTTGTAGCATTTGGTTCAGTTGGAAAAATGTAAAGCTGTGTGTCATGTTATGCTGTGTGTCATGTAACAGTAATTGAATTTTATCTGACCTTTCCCTACAAATAGCAGATAATAATGAACAGCATTAGGTGCAAGGGAATTGCTGAACTTAATGAAATATAGCATACAGTAATGTGGCATCATCTGGTATTGGCACTACAGGGCCAAATTTTTTCAAATAACCACTATATAGTATCTAGATAATGCCAGATTTGTCAGGATAACAATGAGCTTGTTGCCTTTCTAAGGAATTATCGTGTATTTCTGAACTAGAGACCTGTTTCAAGGACTTTCTTAAGAAAATTCATGTAAATTAAGGATCTGTTTAAAAAATTTGTGCAATCCTGAGTTTTCTCTTTCAGGAAGGGAAGCTGGTAGAAAGAGACCCTTCCACCTGGCAACTCCAGGGGGAACCAACAATACTCATCACCCTGGCACACATTTTTAATAATTTTGCCCCTCTTATGGTGAGTTTCTTCAATTTATATCTTAATATTTCTTTCAGCGTAGGATTTTCTACCTAATGTAGTAGTGGAAATGTGTTTATTCAGTTGCAGAGACTATGAACTTTTTCAGCACATTCACACTATTCAGCAACAAGATTCCTCAGCACAAGAAACAGAATGTTACATTTTTCCATGATAGCAAAATAGAGACCTATTCTGGATATCAATACCCATACATTCTAATCATTTGCAGTTGGTATCGAGGATTCTAATATTTTGATACCTACTGAACAGAAATTTGCTTTCCTCATCTACATTGATTATTAGTAATTTTCCATGATTTTAGATATGTGTCTTTTCTAGTTCCGTGTGGATTTGCTACAGGTTAAACCTCAGAATACGGCCTTTGCAATTGACCTTTTTCCATTTCTAATCAATGTCTGAATTATTGTGATCCGGTCCTCTCCCTTTAATGGAGGCCTTTATGGTCTGCTATTCAGAAGGTTATGGAGAATATGTTTCAATTAAAGTTGGGATGGGTCATAAGGTTCTGAACATAATTTTGGATTTTATTTATTCTTCCTTCCTATATTTTGAACTCTGTTGCCAGCCAATTTCATTCTCAACAAGAAGCAAGCTTTGTGAAGTTATAAAATTTACTTTGTGCTGTTCTTTATGTATAAGGTGCCTAATTAAAGAGAAGCGGTGCAATTATATATTTATTAATTAAGAAAACCCATCACATTCAAACTGTAACACAAAACTCCACTCTCCAACCTACCTAATTAATTCCAGGAAGGAATCACATCTTGTTCATCAGCAGAAGGGCTGCATTCTACCACGTAGAACAACAAACTGTGTATATTTTCTCCTTGTGTGTAGGTCCATTGCCTAGAGAAGGGATCAAATCTACAAAAGCTGTATAAATATCTGGAACATTGTAGGAGCAGTATGTACTATTTTAGAAATATGGTACTAGACTGACTGAGGAAGACAGTCATCTGTGGGATACCTACAGTTCTCATGACATCCTAGGAATATATTTTTTTAAAAACGAACTCTCATGAAACTGGCACATGGGTATAGGTTCATTCTTGTATTGCTATTGGTTTGATCTGTATGGTGGTCATTCTCAGTTCTGCTACTTTAAAGACTCTTTTTCTACAGTGCAAAGTGTACTTAGTGGAAGATGTGCTCATGAGTTTCCTGCTTGGCATCTTGGAAGGGGGAGGAGCTGTAGAAGTACACCCCCTTATTCAGCAGTTACTGGATCTTATGTGGCTTCTCATGGAGGTGAGTTTCATTATGTCTTTTGACTTCTAGTAATTCTGGGCTGCTTCTGTTCTCCATTAGGGCTACCTAGTGTAAATGTCTTCTATTTATTTTCTTCAGGATTATGAAGTTCATGAATGCCTCAAGCAGCTGTTGATGTCCCTGCTCAGAGCATACCGCTTTTCTCCCATCGTTCCTGATCTTGGCTTACAGGTGAGTGATATTATCTTCTGACATACCAGAAAAAAATCTTGATACCAAAAAACAGTGTGAGAGTCAGATTTTTCTCCCTGATTACAAACATATAAGTTGTAAATCTCAACTCGGTGCCTACCAAATATTTTGGATGTCAGCATACTCCTATGACTGGCCATGTTATCTAGCGATTATAGCAGTTGATACAATTTGCATCAGGCATCAGTTTGGAGAAGAATGTTCTAAATCACAGGTGTCAAATTTTATTTCATTGAGGGCTGCATCAAGGTTATGGGGGACAGGGTGGACATGGCCAGGATGGGCATGACCAGCTCGATGTCATTCGTGTCGGGGTACCTGTGGTGGCTTGAGGCCTCTGCCAGCAAAAACGGAGCTCGCATGCCCCCCCCACCCCGAGCTCCATTTTCACTGTCAAATGCGGGCCAGATCTAAGCATCCCACAGGCCAAATCTGGCCCATGGGCCTTGAGTTTGACGGCCCTGTTCTAAATCATGGGTATCATGGCATCATGATGTTGCTGGCATCATGGTAACATTTTGCGACATTTTTCCCATTCGTGGAGCTGGGTGGGCATGGCTTGAAGTGATGCATCCGCCATGTGGGCCACCAGTTTGATATCCCTATTCTAAGTCATTTAAAAATTCTATGTTACAGGTAGTCCTCAATTTATGACCATAATTAGGACTGGAATTTGTGTAGCAAGTCATTGTCATAAATCAGGCCTGCTTTTTTATGACAATTTTTATAGTGGTTGTTAAGTATTAATTACATACAATTGTTAAGCAAATCCAGCTGTCCAATGATGTGTTTTTGCTGGAAAGAGGCAAAAAAGGTCACAAATCACATTCATATGATTTGCCCACTGCAACCGGTCATAAAGACAGACAGATTGCCAAGCCCAAAATTGCAGTCATGTGACTTCAGGGGTGGGGAGATGGTTATAAGTGTAGATTACAAGTCTCTTTTTTCCAAGCTATTATAACTTTGAACCATCATCATAGTTATTAATCAAGGATTACATGCATTGGTCTGTATAAATTGATTGTCCTTTTCCCTTTTTTTTCTGCCCAGATCCATTATCTTCGCCTTACTATTGCTATCCTAAAACATGAGAAATCCAGGAAATACTTGCTCAATAATGTCTTGTATCCTTTCTTTATATGTATATTGTTCGTAGTTGTTTAGATTTCTCAGTGATACTTATTGAGGACTTATTTCTAAGTGTATTTCAGGCAGCATTCTTTGAAGTTTGAGATATAAATACTGAGACAGAGCCTTGGAGCATGAGGAAATGGCAAGATTCTAGTTAAGCAATTGAAAGCTTGATAATTGCTTCCCCTTTATTACCCTTATTTTGTTACTCTTCACTTGAGGAATATTACTGCAATAGGAAATCCTTGAAGAACTTTTATATCTTTTTAATCTTAAAATGTCTATAAGGAAGCATAACATAGATTATATTGTTTTACTTCAGTATTATCATAATGCTATCTCCCCACCTTATCTCAGTACTAAATCACTATCATATGCTGAAATATTTACTGACTGATCGACGGATTATGTGCAACCCAATTGTTGACTTTTAACCACATAGGTAGATTTTGTTCATAATGATCTGTCCCTAACTTGGTCCTTCAAGTTTTCTAACTGTGCTCCCATTTCTTGACCTCAGAGCAATAAACTATTGAAAGCACTGGTTACTGCCCCGTGCTATGGAGAGCTGTGTCTTGATGGTGCAGTTTTAGCTCAACTTTCCCATCATTCTTAGTGATGGATCTAGTTAGGATCAACAGTCTATACTCTATAGTACTGTTTCCTGACTGGGCAGAAGATATCTCTGGGAAACCCATAATTAGGAAATGAAGTAGTAACTCTCTACTATTCCTTTCAGCAGTTATACCTAGTTGGATTATGTGATGCTTTAGGTTTGATTTTTTTTTCTTTTCTATTATATTTTTGTAAAATATATTTTGATACAGTGGTATTTTGCAGTATTAAGATTAGCACTCTAATGTATATCTAAGATCATTCATTAAAGATAAAAAGAGAGGTGTTTTACCAGTATTCATTATGATTTAAAACATCAATGTTAATAGTATAAGTTTATTTAGCTTTTTCATCCGGAACTAAATATAATAGTAAAAACTACTGTAGGTTGCATCAAAGTATTTGTTGTACAAAAAAGCTTTCTTTCTAAAGCTGGCATTGAAGTCTCTGTCAGGCATGAAAGATCAGGACCACACATGAACTTCCAATTAAACTAGTTTATTACTAATGATGCCTATGCACAAAAATGTACTCAATTAACAGCACCACCTTGGTGTTAGATAAGGGTCAATGGAATTAGAGAGGGGTTGGACTTGCTTGGTCTGTGGTGATCTAGAGATTCTAGGCTGATTACTATTTTGATTCCACCCTGAGGTTCTGCCACTCCTTCTCCTCCATTCTCCAGTGTTCTGTTACTTAATAATATTTGTGCTTGTTAAAAATATGAACATAGCAAATTTGAGAATTAAAATGAAAAGGAAAAAAATGCTATTTAATTTCTAATGTTCTCCTTTTTTGTGCTTCTAATTTACATATTTATAAACATTTGGCTCCACTTGGAAGTAGTCTTAATTTTCTAAATTAAAACTTTTTTCTGAATTTTTTTCTTTATCTTTCCCAAAACTATACATAGTATAATTATTTCTGTAGTTAAAATGTATTGTATGAACACAAATTTGACACACTATAGCATTCATCACTTACATGTGGTTTTAAGTAAAATCTAATTTGCATTGCCTTTTTATTATAGAAAATAATTTGGAGTTATCTACAGAAGCCACATTAACATGACACCTAATTCTTGATAATCATATAAGTATCAAATAAAAGCAGTTCAATTTTTTAAATATTCCATGGTGAAAACTGTCATAAGCTGAGTTTTGTTTTGCTTAGAAGGTTACAACATTGACACAGGAAACTAAAGAATCTTGGAGGCAAGTTAGTCTCCTTTGACTAGAACAACTGTCTGTATGTTGGAGTTTAGCCTTTGAAAATGTAAGGAGTTCCTTTGCTGAAGAGTCAGTATACAGTTTTATTCTATTAATAAGTAGGAAATAATAATTTCTGGTATTTTTAGCTGGAGAATCCCTCTTTAATTTGCATTTAAGGCTACTTTACGTGCTATATAGGAAACTTCCTTCTATTAGGTCAAGTTATTGACTTAATAGATTAACTGTTTGATATGCTGCAAGGCATTGCTGGAAATCTTAGCTCTCTAGACACAGACTCCTGCTTTGGGTATTACCTTTCTCTCAAAAGGCTTGGCTGGATTAGTATTTACGATGGGTCCATATAAAACCAAAGATTTGCATATTTCAATGCATAGCTTAATTTCAAATGCCTTACAGAGCTGACTTCTGGTGTGCAGAATTATTTTAACTAACTTCAGGGTTGTTCTTTTTCACTTAGATTCACAGATACACTTGTCTTGAACTACCACCCAATTTCCTTAACTCCTTCCAGATTTGATGTTCTTCGCTCAGTGGTATTTTTTTATATCAAGTCCCCTTTACGTGTGGAGGAGGCTGGCTTACAGGAATTGATACCTACCACCTGGTGGCCAAATCGCTTCAACAAGGAGGTGAAGAATATAATCTTGCAGTTAGTAGATTTAGGGAATCACACAGTGGCCTGTGATTCAGACTTTATATAGATATATTCTGAACATAATAACATTATATAGGTGATAGTGTGGTACTTTGGGGGATTTCTGTAGAGATTCTCAGTCATCCAGACCGTGGTTGTCCCAAAGGTGCTTTTTCAGGAGGCAATTGGACTTTCTTGTTGTTTCACTTCTCATCCAAGAAGCTTCTTCAGCTCTGTCTTCAAAAGAAAAAAAACAAGAAAATACAATTGCCACCTGAAATAGCACCTTTGGGACACTTTGGGGGACGATTATTGTCCCTTTATCAGCTGTTTTAGCTCTTGTTTCCAAGCTTTTCCTATCCATCCCTTTTTTGTTCATGTTTTATTGGTACAATTTTTTTAAAAAGCTCAATTCTCCATTGGCTTTGTTTCTTTGAGTACTGTTTATAATCCTGTTGCTCCCTTCTTTAAATGCAGGGCAAAGAGAGGAAAGAAGTAAAGAATGAGAGTTCTGAAGAAAGACTGAGGAGGAGAGCATATGAGAGAGGGTGCCAGCGGCTTAAAAAACGCATTGAAGGTACATGGGTTTGTGAAATTTGGACTTTCATGGCATTATAGATCAGACTTATGCAGCTTTTTTATGGGCTGAAGACTTCAGTTGGCATTCAAGTGGCATATGTGCTATACATGGATAGAACAAGTAAAATTTATTGCATTATTTACATTTCAGTTAATTACATTAAATCTAGCTATTATATTTCTCATATTTTTAATAATTTTCCCTTTTGATCACATTAAGAATGAAAGTTTTTAGAGGTCACATGCAAGGCTCTGGTTCTTCAGCTAATACGCCTATATTGGTGTCTATGGCTGTGTTCAATACCTATAAATCATAGCTTGATCCCAGTATACAAGAAAATGTAAAAACCAAAGCTGGGTATTGCAGTGCTGTCAATTTTGTTTGCTTTCATACTCCCAAATATAGTACTAATCAACTCAGTTCTCCTCTTGAGTTACTTATTTGTAAAGTTTGTACATTCTATTTTTCTCAAGATTATCAGGAGCAACCTACCAGAACTTTTATTGATGACTCTCTTCTGGGAGAGTAATGAAATAATGTAAATGGGCTGGTTTTCTCTATGAGTTTCTATATAAGACTTGAATAAATTCATTATTGGTTTCTTCAATAGAACATGATGATGGACTCATCCAATGCTTCTAAGAGTTATATTATTTCTTCTTTTGTAGTGGTGGAAGAACTCCAAGTGCAGATACTGAAGCTGTTGTTAAACAATAAAGATCATGGTGTGGTAAGGACAGTTTAAACAGCTGAATAACTGCAATAATTCTGAATATAAACTTGCTTTATGCTGTTGTACTGTAGTTTTTTTCTTAAAGTGGTTTGCATGTATTTTAAGAAGGAAAAGCTATAGATATTCAGGCAGCTCCATACGCCTTGCTGTTAGCTTCATAAAACATTGCTTAATTTAATAAGATATTAAGAGTCCTTATTGCTGGAACTTAGATTTTACCTTGTTAAACAAATCTAATATATTACTTGATTTACAGGGATGTATCTTGCTAACTCTTGATTTAGCATCCAGGTAATACATTTGCTTTAAAGTATGTTATTTCCCCTTTCCATTCAATATGACCATTAACTTCAGGCTGCAGAGTGTCATATTAAATTCTAACATTTAATGAATATGCTAAGAATTCACGCTGCTCAGAATATGTGAGTGTTTTTAGTTAGGTCTCTTCAAATATTTTCAGTTTCTTTGTAAGGAATCTTGATGGAAATCATGTTGAATAATACCAAAATATTAGTTTGTAGTATTCAATTTTTATATCATTTAATGTAGTCACTGTTCAGATTTTTTAAAATTACAGGTAATCCTCAGTTAATGACTGTTATTGAGATCAGCAGCTTTGTTGTAAATGCCACAGTCATAAAGTGAAAAATCACCTGACTCTGCTGATTTACAATTGCAGTCCCAATTAACAAACTTTAAGTGAACCATGCATGGTTGTTAAAACAAAGTCACATGACCATGATTTGCAGCTTTCTTCCCACTTCCCAACTGACTTTTCTGGAAGCTAATTTAGTAAAATAAATGTTAACTGGAACACAATATCACAATATCAGTGTATATGATTAGTTTCAAGTTCAAATTATTCTAAGAAATTATCATTTAAAAAAGAAAGAAAAGAAAGCCACAATAGAAAATAGTCTGTCAGTATTAAAACTATCATATTTTAAAAACAATATGAAATTTCTTTTTAAGGGCCAAATTGCACATTAAATGACCAAAATTGAAACAAAACAGCCTGAATTTAAAATATTCCATAATCTACATGAGATTCCATTACATCAGTTATTCTATTTTTTTCAGGGAGGAGCTTCCAGATACATCTTTCTAAATAAATTCCGCAAGTTTCTTCAGGAAAATGCCAGCAATCGAGGGGTAAGTGAAGAAGAATTCTGCTATGTTTTTCATCGATTGTTGCACATTTGATTGTGTTGCTTAGAAGTATACTAATAGCAACGATATTATTGTGCCTTAGTTTGCATGTTAGCAGTCTTTAAAACTTTTTGCTGATGAGTTTTGTGTTAAGGTTCTAAATTTAGGCAAGAAAAATGAAATGCATGGGTACAGTATAGGTGGTACCTTGCTCAATAGTAGTCTGTGAGAGGGATCTTGGAGTCCTAGTGGACAACCATTTAAATATGAGCCAGCAGTGTGCAGCAGTTGCCAAAAAAGCCAACACAGTTCTAGGCTGCATAAACAGAGGGATAGAATCAAGATCACGTGAAATGTTAATACCACTTTATAAGGCCTTGGTAAGACCACACTTGGAATACTGCATCTAGTTTTGGTTGCCACAATGTAAAAATGTTGTTGAGATTCTAGAAAGAGTGCAGAGAAGAGCAACAAAGATGATGGAGGCTAATATATACGGAGAGCAGTTGTAGGAACTGAGAATGTCTGA